CAAACTTTAGCACTTGCGTCATACATTACCGATTTGACTCCTACGCTAGTGATCATGATAACATAATGGACTGTAGGATAAACTAGCGTAATTAGTTATTGACTTTCTTTAATAAATGATGAACTTATTAGACGGAGTGAAATTCAAATAAGTTACAACATATGTGAACTAATGATCAACGTGACTCTACTAAATAAGTGTATGACAACTTCTAAACAATTTAGAAAACAAACATATATGATCATTTAAACGAACAACATATTGCCTCAAAAAGAGAAAGGTCCAAATAAAATATAACAATGACCTTTCCCGTAGTTGATATGTTACTGTTTCCTTCATCCTCACTAACAAAAAGGGCTTCAACACCAGTAGAGTGTAACACAGGGAAAATATTGAAAACTGTTTGAACTCGAAAGTACTATTCTCTATTTTGTTGAGTTAAACAAAAAGTGATGGTAACTAATCTTTTCAATCTAGAACATAGTACCTAAATTGTTTGAATCCACCTTCATCTCTACTAGTTTCTTGTTTTCATTGTCTATGATCTTAAATAGAACAAGCTAAGACTCAATCAAACAGAAGTATTGATACTGCCCTTAGAAAGTAGAAACTAATGTCATGTCGATTGGTTGTTATATGTTTTTCAGAATTTATGTATAGTTAAGTATCTTGATGTTTGGACGGATGAGTCAATGTTGGAGAGGGCCAGAAAGTTGATGTTGTAACTACAAGAAATGGGTAAAACTTTATATGCCTACTCAGGTGCTGAATCGTGTGAGATTGGGATAGTCCAACTATTTTTATTATCACTTAGATCAAGCCATAACAACATAGATAAATTGTCAATTAATAGTGGAATTTATCCATTGAAATTGTTAGAAGTGTAAGATATAAGAAAATCTTGTTAAAAAGACAAGAAATGAAGTCAAGACGAAGTTGGTTAATGCTAAAAAGAACAAAAATCAAGAAGACCTCGCCTCTGTTTATACGACCATAAGGCATGTTAGGGATGAAAGTTGGTACACAAGTAGTTGTAATATTGATTATATAGTTTCATGTCCATCAATTTCACATGTTTGACTGCTTCTCTTGTCCCAAAGCCAGTACTAATAAAGGTGAATTTTCAATGAACTACACCTAATTATATTGGGGCAACAATGAAACCAAAAACAAAACATTTGCAAGTGGCAGCTGATGCAAAGTCATATATTCTAAGAAGTCAACTACCCACAGATATATACAAGGCCTTTGTGGAGGATGAAAATGAACCATATGTTAGCACTCTTACTTTTTTCATTACTATTATTGTTCGTCGGCTGACTTGTTTGCTTAGTGTTGTCTGAGATTCTTCAAAAGTGTTTTGGCCATAGTTCGTAACCATATGATATTGGTTTTTGAATATGTGAAATTGGCATGATGCTTTAGATTTGCTAGAGCTACTACTTTCGTTCTTCGTCTATTTTTTTTTAAAATACAGCCTTTTATAAATTTATACAACTGGAAAAAAAAGCTATCGAAATGACACATAGAAGAGATGCACAACTTATCATGGAAAAGTGTCTTCTAAGACAACATTATTCGAGAGAATCCTATAACAAAGAAGATCATAACGCATACTTCATTTATTAAATTTTTCTATGCAACTGCACATAACTGTCTTTCCCTATATTTGTTAATTTCTGCACTGTTGTATTTTTGGACATTCGCTTTATATGTTACATTTTCTAAACATAAATAATATTTGAATTCTTGGTAAATACATCTCAATGATTTTCTAATTGATTTTTCTAATGTTCCAAGACTTTTGTGGATATTTCTAGATAACACATGGTGAAGTTTTAACTACTTTTGGGGTGAGCGATCTACCTAATTCTTGTATAAAATTGATATATTTACCATATTTATTTATCGTTCTTTAGTATTTTGAACATACAAATTTTGAAGGTTGAAGTTTCATCAAGATACAAACTTAGAACAAATGTACTAGCTTGTTATTAGTTTGCTACAAATGTTATGCAAAACTCGATAGTATATAGTCTAACTTGGATGTTGTCTATATTTTTTTAAGAACATATTGAAACCAACATCATGGGATGTTCACCAATTTACTATAGTTAATTGAATTCTTTATCTCTATCTTCTTATTTTTGTCTCTCTAAATCTTCTTTTTAATCGAATGTTTTAGTAGAAATTTAGTATTTGTTGAAGAATTTTTTTTTACTGTTATATCAATTGATCTAAGACCATTATATTGATGGCCAATATAGGACCAGAAATATCTCGTCTTTATAATGAATCAAGGACCAGATCATTCTTGTCTCTAAACATACTCAAGGACAAGGTCACCTCATCTGTAAAACTATTCAACGACCATGACAATATCGTCCTAAAAACTGATCAAGGACCAGAATGTTCTCGTCTCTAATGATAACTAGGACCAGGCGTTCATGATCACTAAAAAGTTGTGACGACCTAAAAGTAGACTTTCCAAAGATATATATTGTCTATTTGAGACTAGATATGTAATCTCTAAAAGTATTTAATGAACCCAATTTTTTCCGTCTCAAATACCATTTAAGGACCAGTATTTTGTTCCCGTCGCAGAAGATATATAAAAACGAAGGTGGATAGGACGGGTGGCGACCAACATTTTCTGGTCTCAAATTTGCATTTAGGGCAACATTTAGATTTTCAAGGACCTGATTTCCCTTCCTTAGAGGTTGTTTTTCTTGTAGTGAAAAATGGGCGAGGAGAAAATCAGAGAGGTCGTGGATGATTGATAAATTCCGATGTAGGCAAGGGATCATTGCAAAGGGATAAATAAGTTGCCCTCTAGGATAACACGACTCAGTTTTATGCCTTTTGGTCAAGAACAGAGGTTGAGTCATTTTATGGAGGGATCACATATACTATTTTTGTCTTTGACTGGATGGCTACTATTTTTTTATCTGTGTTCCACTTACTCTTATGTATCAGTACATTTTACCTTTAGATTTGATTTTATTTGTAATGTGCTTGATACCCCTATCCATGTTTCTACCCCGTTGGAGAGTCTATCGTAGTCACACATGTTGATCGTGCTTGTTCTGTCCTGTTTATAGGTTTTTAGACTTGTATTAAATGGATTATTTTGGATATGATTGAATTTTATGTAATATTAGACATGACTTATATGCTCCCCTATTATGTTGTGTTTATAGTAATGCTAATATTGTGACTTTAGAGATCACGGGTAGGGAATAGTTAGAGTTGTAAGGTGTGTAAATAATCTCTTTGACTAATTGCAGGTGCATTAGCATTCTCCCAAATTTATTCTTAGATTGGGTACCATCAATTAAAAGCTTATGCCTGAGTATGTACCCAAGACTGTGTTGAGGAATTCGTATGGGAACTATGAGTTCTTTGTGATGTTGTTTTGGTTCACTAATGCACATGCAACCTTCATGAGTTTCATTAATCGTGTGTTCAAACCATTCCTAGATTTCTTTGGAATGTATTTATTGAGGACATTTGGGTCTACTCAAAGAGTGACCAAGAGCATGTATATTATCTTTGTAATTTTTTGAGTATCCTTGGGAAGAACAAATCACATGCAAAATTGTCTAAGTGTGAATTCTAGTTGTCCTATGTTGCCTTTTTGGGTAATGTACTTTCAAAAGAAGGGTTAATTGTATATCCCAAAAGATTAAAGTAGTCCAGAACTAGGTTTGTCCTAGTTCTGTCACTGATGTTAGGTGTTTTGTGGGGCTTTCAAGCTACTATCGGAGGTTTGTGAAAAATTGTGTCAACTTCCACACACTTGAAAAGGATGACTCAAAAGTAGGTGCCTTCTAAGGTGACTGACAAATATGAAGAGAGCTTCCAAAATCTAAAGACTCTCCTGACTACAATGCCTATTCTAACATTGCTTGCTGAAGGCCACGGTTTCATTGTTTATTGTGATGATTCACATTTACGCTTTTGTGTTGTGTTGATGGATGATAAGAATGTTAAAGCTTATGCTTCAGGTAAATTGAAGACTCATTAGAGGAATTACCCCATGCATCATTTGGAGTTGCAAGCAGTAGAGTTTTCTCTCAAGATTTGGTGATATTATCTATATGGAGTCAAATGTGAAGTGTCCATTGATCATCGCAGTCTACAACATGTGTTCATTCAGAAGGATTTGAACAAGTGATAGCGAAAACGGACGGAGTTACTTAAAGATTATGTTGACACTATTCAAATACCATTAAGGTAAGGCTAATGTGGTGACAGACGCATTAAACCGGAATATAGAGAGTATAGGTAGTTTAGGTAGCTTGGGTTTGTCCAGACGATCATTGACTTGTTGAGTTCAAGGGTGAGTTAGTTCCTTTAGGCTACAATGTATTAATCTAGTATCTTAGTCCATTTCCTTCGGACATAGACCTTTTACGTTTTACTTTATGTTTAGTTTTTTTGAGTATCGCACCCCTTATCATAGACCATTAAGTTAGAAGTTTCGGTACAATGACTTTCAGGTTCTAGGTTTTGTTGACACCCAATTTTGACCATCGTTTCTTCTAAATAACTGTTGTCGAGCTTCTAAATGAATAATGTGTGAAATATCCCTTTTTACAACTATTTTTACTATTGCAGTTATATATCATTGTTATTGCTATCGTTATGTCACAATTTTATAATTACTTCTAAATTTTTACATTTTACTCTTAAAATTATATTATCACCTTTTACACCATTTCTTAAAAATTAATTGTTATCTCTTTGTTTCAAGTTTCATACTTATTAAATTAATTTAGTCCTTATTTTGTAATTTAGTAATATTGATATTTATATTATGTAAATTATTAGTTGTCATCTTTTAACATATTTGTATTAGTTACTAAGCTAGAAGCCCCAATTTATATGAAGAAAGAATGGAAAAGGCGAAGAAGTGCAGCCTAAACCCACCATTCCAGCCCACATTCTATATTAAAATCAATCCAAAATTAGCTCAAACAAGGCCCAAACCCGTGTCTTAGTTATCAACAAAATGCCAAAACGAATTAGGTCTTTTTTTTCCCATCACTTCGTCAGTCCTTCCCCTTCAAATGGCTAAAGCTCCAGGTCTCTTTCACCTTTGACATAGGCTCCTCTCCATTTTCGTACAAGCTTTAATAACTACTTCAATTCTCCTCAGTTCTGTCTCTTCGTGGCAGATTCAGTCAAGAATAGGCCAAAAGATTGGTGATTTTTAAATTTGTTATAGAGAAGAAGTTTGATTCAAAATTCAACGACTATTTACTCCTTTGAATCCCACCCAAATTTCAATAAGAGGAACCTAGTTCATCACCATAAATGACAGATCTTACATTCATTTTCAACGAAGCTTTTCTTCCCCTGTATCAACTTGAAACACTCATTCCTGCTCTCAAAAATTTTCTTTTGTACTCTTTCGATCTCCGCTAAAAACACTAGTTTCGAGGTTACTCAAGTTTGTTTTTGTTCGAACATAGCCCTTCGACCAAAGCACCTTTTTTCACTTCCTGACAACAGGTAACAGTCGCACCTTTTTTCTTGTCTGCTTTTTTACTACGATTAAAGTGCTATATATACCTTAAGAGATTTATATGTCAAGATTAAATTTTTGCTTATTTTTGACAAACCAAAAGTATTTGTTAAAAATGTGCATGTGTTTATCTCCCATATATTTAGAAATATTATGTATGTGCTCATTTTCTTGTATATTTAAAATTAAAAAATGAGATTAAATATTAATATAAAAGCATCTCAGTTTATAAAATATTTTATGATAGGAGGGTTAGAAAATAAACCATAGGTAAGAAATTTGATTCAAATAGCCTATCTGGTGTAACAGCTGATTAATTAAATTGAAAGTCCATTTTGGACATTTTGTAGCAAATTTTACATTAGTTAGGTGATTTTCATACCATGAGAATTTTTGTGATACACATTTCAGATGATTTCTTTGCAAACCATTAAGGAACCTCCCTAGGGAGTTACGGGAGAAGTAGATACAGTCTTACATTTTTAAAAGTGCATTTTTGGCATTTAAGCCTCAACTACAACACTTTGATCATAGTTTTTCATGTGTGCTAGACCATATATATTTTGATGGTTTGTCTTTCGAACATTGCAAAACCTTTATGGATCCTTCCCTAGGGAATTGAGGAGTGTTACATACAGTCTCACAAATTTTTAGTTTTTTTTATAGCATTTAGGAGCCAATTTATTGGAACTAGAAACTTTTTTAGTGTTTTCGTGTGTGTTAACCCATGTATATTTTGGTGATATCACTTTAAGACATTTTTTTAATCAAAATCAAATGGAACCCTTCGTAGCGAGATGGCGAAGCAGTAAGTATTCTCTCACAATTTTAAGAGTCCATTTTATTATTTAATGGCTAATTTACAAAAAGTAGAAGAATTTTCTTAGGTTTTCGTGTGTTAGTCATGAATCTTTTTCTGATATGGATTTTGGATGATTTATTAATGAAACCTCTACGTACGGAATTAGGGGAAGAATACATACAGTCTCATAATTTTTTTAGTCATCGGTATTTAAGGCTAATTTACATTAATTAAGTGATATTGTCAGTTTTTTGTTTGTGTTAGACCATGAATATTTTGTTATATGACTTCAAGAGAGTTCCTTAAGTGTTTTGCAAGGAAATAGTCCTCGTCTTTATAAGGACCCTTGAATGTCTACAATAGCCACTGGGTCATCTATATACTTTTTAAAATCACACCAATAGCAAACATGAGAGACAATTTCTTTGCAAAACACTTGAGGAGTTCTCCATGGGTAGTTGCGGGAGAAGTACATATAGTCTTATATATTTTAAATTTAAATTGAACATTTAGGGACCAATTATAAAAATTAAGAGATTTTCTTCATTTTTTTTGGTTAGACCATGAATAATTTGGTTGTACGTCTTCTGGAGGATTTATATATGAAAAACTCCGTAGATATTTGGTGGAGCAGTATGTATAGTCTAATAATTTCTTGAGTCAATTTTCATCATCTAATGACCAATGAAGAGGAATTAAGCAAATTGCTTAGCTTTTCATGTGTGTTGGACCAAAAACATTATGATAATATGACTTTCAGACAAGTACATTTCCAAACCTTTAAGGGAACAATTCATTGGGAGTTGGGAAAGCAGTACATACATTTTCACCTTTAAAAATCAATATTAAACATTTCGGAGGCCAATTATAGGAATTATACAAATTTTTTTTCTTGTAGTGGGTGTTAGCCCATAAATTTATTAGAGATATGACTTCTAGACAATTTCTTTGCGACATATTTGCAGAACCCTTTGTAGGATAGTGGGGGAGTAGTACATACAATCTCACAATTGTTCGAGTCTATTTTGGACATTTCAGGGCTAATTTAAAAGAATTAGGCTAGTTTCTCAATTTTCCATGTTTGTTGACCCATGGATATTTTGGTGATATTGATTTCGTACTATTTATTTTTGAAACGTTTACGCAACTCTTTGCAAGATTTTGGGGGAGCAACATGTATTGTCTCACAAGTTTTAAATTCCACTTTGAACATTTAGGGGCGAATTTACAAGAATTAAGCATTTTTTTTTGTTTTTGGTGTGTGTTAGTTCAAAAATATTTTTTCTTAAATAAAAGGCTTGATACCAACTGCTTAAAAAGTCGAAATATTCTATTTAAACATTACAATTATACATGGTCAATTGAAACATGACTTAGATTTAATGGCTTAATGGAATATTTTACAAGTTTAACAAGTTAGTTCTGTATTAAGACAAAGAGTCTCTATATAATTAATAAAGAAATGAAAGAAATCATATTACCAAACAAAAGTCTTACCTCACATGTCCAACTACGTGCCCCAATTCCAATATTTTAAAATTACACAACAATGAAACATTGGTCTTGGTGATTTATGAGAAATTGAAAACAAATATCAACTTGAAGATAAAAACTTTTACAGAATCCTCCGTAGGGAGTTGGGTAAGTAATAAGTATAGTATAATAGTTTTTACAGACCAATTTGGGCATTTGGGGCCAATATATAGGAATTAAAAGATTTTATCATTTTTTTATGTGTAGTAGGCAATGAATATGTTGGTGATATGACTTCCAGATGATTTCTATACGAAAACTTTACTTAACCATTTGTAGGGAGTTAGGGGAGTAGTACATGTCTATCAAGTTCTAGAGTGCGCTTTGGCCTTTTGGAGGACAAATTATAGGAATTAGGTGATTTTTTAATTTTTCGTGTGTCATAGCAATGAATATTTTTGAGATATGGCTTTTAGAAGATGTCTTTGTAAAAACTTTATGGAACTCTTCCAAGGAAATTGTGGGAGTACTACTTATAGGCTCAAAATTCTTTGATTTCATTTTGGGCATTTAGGGGCAAGTTTACCTTATTTTGGTGATTTATTCGGTTTTTGTACATCTCATCTAATGACTATTTTTTAGATATACATTCTGGATTATGTCTTAGTAAAACCTTTATGTAACCCTCCATAGGGATTTGGGAGAACATACGTACAATCTCATAATTTTTAGAGTTCATCTTGCACATTTAGGGGCCATTTTACATAAATTCGGAGTTTTTTCTTAGTTTTTCATGTGTATTTAGCCCATGACTATTTTGGTTCTATGGCTTCCGGACAATATTTTGTAAAATCTTTGAGGAACTCTCCTAAAGGAGTTGGTGGAGTAGTACGTACAATCTCATAATTTTTAGAGACCATTTTTGGCATTTAGGGGAAAATTTACAAGAATTAACTGATTTCTTAATTTTTCGTATTAGCCATGGATATTTTTGTGATATGACTTTTGAATGATTTCTTTGTGAAACCTTTACTAAATACTATTAGAGAGTTGGATGAGAAGTATGCACAACATGACCTTTTTTAGATTCCATTTTGGTTATTTAGGGTCAATTCATATGATCTAGGTGATATTCTCACTTCACGTGTTCGTTAGCCATAAATAACTAGATGATAAGTCTTTAAGATGATTTCTTTTTTAGACCTCCTTTATAAGGAGTTGCGGGAACAATACGTACAGTGTCATAATTTTAGAGTGCATTTTAGTCATTTAGGGGTCAATTTATAAGAATTACACAATTTTCTCATTTTTTTCGTGATGTGTGTTAGTAAGCCATGAATATTTTATCATTCAATAATGTTCTTGATACCATCCTTTTGAAAACGTCAAAATATTCTATTTAGATATTTAAATTAGGCTTGTTCAATTGAAATATGTCATAGATCTAATATCTATATGTAATATTTTTACAAATTTAACAAGTAAATTATGTATTCAGCTGAAAAATAACCTCTATATATTTGATAAAGTAATCAGGGTTGTTTATCGGAGGGGTCAGACATATAATTTTTCTAAACTACTTGGTTTTCAGATTTTGGGTTTTAAATTTATTAATTTGCTAGTATTATGAACCAATACTTCGTGATTGACACCCACACTAATCCTCCGCTGAGAGAACTATTTATACTAGTTAGCTAAACAACTAAATCAACACACCAAAGCATTTAAGGTTACGTGAAAGAGGGTCGATTTATTTTTATCGCACACCACTCTAGGCAATCTTAAAAACGTCTTTAACACTCATCCTACTTACACCCACGAAATTGACTAAGTATAGAAATACTTAAACAACAAAATCAAACAGCAAGCAGAATTTAAAGGAATTTGTCTCAACCTTTATTAATTTGTAATTAATACAAAGGAAGGCTTCACGAATTAGTCTAAGGCTCAAAAACACTCTGTCTAAGCCTTAGTCGAATTTCCACCTTTAAACAAAAATTCTGCACAATGGCAGTTACATGCGGCAGTTACAAATGACACATATCCGACACTTGTCATCACAGGGTTAAAGCTAACTTCCCAACAGCTATATTTCTGACAGATAGAATCTAATTCAAATTACGTTCTTATCAACACGAAATACTAATATTCTAACACTTAGAATATTTCAGGCATCATTCCAACACTCAGAATATTTCTGCCAGCTTCCAACACTTAGAATATTTTACCTGTCTTCCAACACTTAGTTTTATTTCACCAATTCGGGTGAACTGCCTTTGTTCTTAACATTGTCGAGTCTTCACAGTTTTGCCTTATCAAGTCAACATATTGTCTTGCCAATGCCCTTAGCCCGCACGTAAGCCATGAACATTCAAGCTGCCTTGCCAACACCTAAGCACTTTGAACTTGTGTTGCACTGTTTTGTCCTCATCCATGTCAAGACCAATGCTCAAGTCCTTGACATGTCTGCACATAGTTAGATCAAGTAGTTTGCGGGTATAACAGACCACCCGCACCACTTGAACTTGATATCCTCATCGAGACTGTTTTAAGGTAGTCCTCAATTTGAGCATCAAACTGCCATAAGTCTTTTGTCTTCTCCCAAACTGCATCAGCTGCACTCTTTCCTTTCCAATGAACCAAGAATTATGTCTTAGTATTCTTCTTACTTGTGCCCAAAACCGGGTGATCAAGGATCATCTCAATTTCAGC